GTCGCGACGGCGCCACAAATGTCTCAGGTTGACAAATGCCAATCGAGCCTTCTGTATGCGCGCCGACACTTCATCTGTAATGCGTCCGCCAGGTGAGATATAGCTGCCGAGATAGCAAAACTTGTCTACGTTCTCTACAACTTCCCCGGTCGGGGTGAGGCTGGGGACTGGGTCAACCCAATCTTGGACCAGCATTTTACACTTTGAAGGTGAAAAGCGCATGCCGAACACGGCCACACCAGCACTCAAACTATCCAAAGAAGCTTGCAACTTACCTGAATCTTCACTTGGTAGCACAATGTCGTCTGCATACTCTAGATCAGACACTGCCACCTGGGAGTAAGTCGATGCCGCTATCCTCGCACGAGGATAGGGCTGCTTCAAGAACTAAATCTATCACGAAGTTGAATAGAAACGGAGAGAGAGGGCAACCCTTTCGAACACCACTCCGTGGTGAACTCGGCCCAAAAGGTGCCGTAAGCTCAGACTCGGCTCCGGCTATTAGTATAGAGCGATTGTAATAAATGAACTTCTCGGGTACACCCTTTAGAGCGAGGCAGCGCCGGAGTTTAGAGCGGTCGACTGAATCGAAAGCCGCTTTCAGATCGAGGGAGATAGACACGGTGGGTCTACGAAAGGAGTGTCTGTTAGAGAGTTTGATGAAGAATGAAGGTGTGTTAGATACAATCTCAACCAGGTCTAAAGCCATCCTAGTTTTCAGGTGTGCACTCTCCACATGCGGCAGATAACCGACTGAGTGTAATACCAACGAGAAGTTTAGAGACGATATTAATTAAACTAATTCCTCTGTGGTTTTCACAAGAGGACCTGTCGCCTTTCTTGTAAATTGGTATAATCGCCGATTCACACCATTCAGTTGGAACCTGTTCCCTCTCCCACATTGAACCCAGGGGTTTCGTTAATTCCAAAACCGAGGTTGAACCTCCATCCTTGGAAACCAATGGGAACAGCCCGTCGGGGCCGTAGGTCATATCTTTTGGGATAGCTTATTTCTCGAATAACCTCCACTTCCGATGTGCCGTCAGACGCATTAACTACCTTACTTATGCCTACTCTCCTTGGACCTGTACTCCTAATTAATCGGAAAAGATTGCGACTATTACCGATAACCACACCCTTCTCCACCTCCACCTACCCACGCACCGCGCTGTAGCCAGTCCGGGCTGGAGGAAGCCGCGTGGAGGTCAGAAAATGACGTGGAGACGAGGCTTGAAGAATTGCACCATTAGGTAGAGTAGGTGTCTCTCGCCTTCTAGGTTGGGGTCCGAAAGACTCCACAACTGGTTGGCTGGAGACATTGAAGGATATGGTAGCGAACCAATAGCAGTGGCGTTCTTGTTGTCATTTCTTATCAGTCCAGAACGCTTGAAACGGTATGTATACAGAGTTCGATTGTGCTTTCTATGTTGAGCATATTGGTTCTCCTTTTCCCTCTCTCAAGGTAGATTTAATCCGTATCCACCTTAAATTTTACCACTAATCTTGCATTTATTGGGAGTTTGGCAGCGATCGGTGTATTTCGCTGTACGATGATGATGATTCTCTACCCACCACTTATCGCGGTCATTCCTTAGACTCTTGATAAACTGGCGCTTTGTCGTATTTTGAATTGCAAGGAATGGCTTTACGAGCGTCCCGCAGGGCAACCGAAGTCGGGGATATCCATCAAACAACTAAAGTTGATCGTGCCCCAGAATCCTCCGTTGTTTGGATTGAAATTTGGATCGCTTCTTTGATTGCCATCCGTTTCCAGTGGTTTTTCTGCGGTTGTTTACAAGGTGTAGGGAGAATCTCGCCCGTGTCCACGGTTGTTGACCAGTAGGAGTGGCAGTCTTCTATAGATTCTCACCATTGGGGTACCCAGCTCCTACTTCCGTCTAGCAGTTTTTTTACCGGCAAACTACCCCTCGTGGATTTTTGCTAGAGTGACGTCTTCAGGGGTGAGATTGGATAGTCAAAAGAAGCCAAGAGTTGCCCAAGCAGCTGTCTTTGTGAGACTGATCTTCGTCTTGCCTCTATCCATTGACCTTTCAGGCATGATTGGATCTGCGTCTGTGAGGAGCGATCCTATATAGCTCACCGGGTTATGGGGGCGCGCAAGCCATCACACCACTTCAAGGTGCAGTCTCGTCGTGATGTAGATTGCCATTGACCTTTTTCCATCCGCTGTCTGCCTCGGCAAACATCTACCTCAATCCACGATATATATTATTATTATTATTAGTTTATTTTATTTAACACAACAAATTACAGAGAATTGGCAAATGTGCCACAAGTTATGAACAGAAATAAATTTGAAGAATGTGTTCATGGGTTGAGTGGGCATGTTACTTCCCGGTTACCCTGGCCGAGGAAGGGGAATAGCTTCGGGGTCCCCATCCGAAGCCTTTGGCTATAAAACCAGACCGGCAAGACAACAGGATGGAGCTCAGTGTCCCAAGTCCATTGGGGGCCGGTGTCCAGCTCACTGGATCATACGCCCTTTGGACGGGGTCAAACGTCCAAGGTGCCCAATACACCTCGATGTTCAATTAAGCTGGCGGCCACTGCCGTGACCAGGAAAGTTTGCGTGTGGTTCTTACGTCTCTTCTTGGTTGGTTTGGAATCAGGGTTTTTAGCCAACTCCCCTAGGTGAATCTGCCAATGGTTCACCAACCCGGGTATAGCCCCGGATGTCGGCTTTTCGTCCTCTTACTTTGGTGCGAAAACACCGCCGCCAGAAGGCAGTGAGTAGGGCTTCCTCAGCAGAGGCTTTTTGAGGCGCTTGGTCATATAGGGGCATTTCGTGAGGTGTAAAGAAATGGTTCTTTTCCCATACTCATTTTCTACGTATATTAGCGACTTATCTTCTAACACCCTTGCTTCTCTTTTCAAATACACAGACGATGTGGTTTCATGTGAAAGCATCTCCGATTCTTCTGGTCTTTCACGATTTTCCTACAACTTGGAAAACGTTTAGCAATTTTCTGCAACATCCGATCTCTCAATCCCCGCAAGTGCTTCGAATCTCTCTTCACCTTATCACGTTCTTAACCAGTACTGATTGACCCTGAAACAGTATCTCAGGCAAGCTGTATTAAATACGCTTTTTTATTGATCCTTATCTTTATTGAACCTCTCACATTCAACATATGGTCACTTAACTTCGACGACTTTCTTTCCATAATCGTAAACTTCGTCAGTTTCGTATGCCGCAATCGATTATCCCCAAATTCGTTTACCATGGTGTTTTTCCTGCTTTACTTTATTCTTCGCTTTTTCAATATCCTAAAGTAGGAATTTAAATTGCTTCGACGTGGCCTAACTACCATAGTCATCATATTGTGTTCCAAAACCACATAATTCACTCAAATTCATTGTGTTCTTAACACCCTTTATCTTTTTATACCTTTCATTTCAGAGCTGATTACTCAGTCAATTCAATGTAGTTGTTCTTTCAACCTGTTTGCAACATGGCATACAACATTGACACGATAAACCCCGATGATTTGGTGATTGGGTTGATCCAAATTCCACCAGGGAAATCTTCAACCGAACTTCTTGATACATCCAATCCCGTGATTGCCAAATTCCTTAAAAAGTTCTGCAAACGGCTCGGTAAGAGCCCCAGTCAAAGGTTTAGTAAAATACTCCCGACTGATCAACGTTCGGGCCGATTCGCTATTTCCACCAAAGATCCGAATTCTGTTCACATCCCTTTTGTTGGTAAAGGCTCTGGTGATCGTTGGTTTTTGCGACACTTACCTACGCGACGTCTGACTCTGTTACAATGCGATTCACTGTAAGTGTTTCTAGCTGATAGTGTCTGTGTTTTTATGATGTGAATATGACCGAATCTTCATGCATACGAAAAGTCTATTCGGAATTTGACAATTTTTTTGCATCCGAATTTTCAACATTTTCAATACCAGTCTATACAGCCGTTTACCTTACACGTTCAGGTAGCGGTTTTAGTTGCTATTTTTTGTCTTCTCATTCGGATAATAAGTAGAAAACTGAGAACAGTATCAAGGTAAAAGGAGAGCTTCAAATTGCGGTGTTTTTAACCATTGGTTACAGTGATTCTTAGGTTCCCAACCGAGGAGCCTAACGCAACCTATATGAC